ATGAGTAACGAGTCTAACGAAGATTTTTTTTTTCTTTAAAGAAATGTTCGAAAGAAAAAGAATTCTGTATTTATTTACCATTCTCCATTCCGGGTGGATGCCGTGAACTCCTACCGACGCAAAATATCGCGCGAATCCTTCATTCAGCCACAAATCGTCCCACCATTTAGGAGTTACTAAATTGCCGAACCACTGTATATACATATATAAGACTTATACACAACGTTTTATATTGACAGTCAAATCTCGATACGCGCCTTCCCAAACAGCACCCCCTCATTAAGAGCCAATGAATATTTGTGAACGAATCTGCGAATTATAGTACCAAATGAAATTCAAATTTTTCTGTACATCTCAATATTAAACATAAATGTTATTGTTTGGAGCACTTTAAAACCATACTCGATGAGAATTTTGCAGGCGTGTAAACGGTATTGCTAAATCGAAGTTTGACTGTACGAGATTTCAAAAATATTATTTTAAAATATATACCTTATACATAAATATTATCAAATTTATTAAACATTTATAATCAAATCATTTAAATAAATGTTTTATATTTTAACACGTAAAATGCTCGCGTTCATAACATTAATTTAAATCAAAAGCAGTTGGTAATTCGTGTGAGATGTTTTATTCAAAGTTCGAGTATACTTAAATATAAAACTTTAATAATAATAATAATAGCTTTTAACAACTATAAAATTCTTAATAAATAAAAAAATTCTCGCCTCTTTAAAAATTTACATTAATTATCAAAGTTATTTTAGTTTATGGCGTGCCACGAAATATAACTGGAAGATTTTCTTAAAACATATGATAATTTAAAGCGGTTCTTACGCTACATATTCAATTAGCAGATACACCCACCTCTGCCTGGGAGAAAATAAGAAAATATTCAAATGGAAGCCGTATTAAAAGCTTCGTTTTATCTTGTTATTGTTATACATATTTATCACTAATTATCAAAGGGACGAAATCGGGGGAAGAATGGGATTTTCGGGCTTAGTGGTAGCCGATATTTTTATAGAACTGCTATAAAAATTTTGGTGCAGATCGGTAAAGAAGGGTTTAGAAATGTATAGAGAACAGACGTACACGCACATTTTACAAGTACCTCGGTGCGGTAAAGTTCGGCCACGCGTGTAATGTTAAAGTGCCAACTTTGATCCTTAATATCTCCACGACCAACTAACCGATTCGAATGAAATTTAAAAGTATTTAGTGTCCGCGACGAGTACTATGGACGCGTTAAATTTTGAATAAATTCGTTGGGTCGTTTCGGACTTACGCGATTGGGATTTTGTCGCATAGATTTACAATAGCGACACCGAGTTGCCGAACGATCTACTGTAGAAGGAATCTGCGTTTAATAAGTCGTTCGAGAGTCGACCGCCTCCCGTTTACTCTATAGAAGGTTTTATTTAAAAATACCGATTATTTATATAATAAGAGCCCGTGTTCTTACATTTCGACATATTATTCGTCAATCTGTTATTACGTGACATAACGTACTGAAGGCTAAAATGTGACTATCGAGTGAAAATAGAATTATTACGAAGTTACCGATGACTGAAAAACACTCGAAATCCCATAAAAATATTATTGGAACCGGGTTAAAAATAAATCTCGGCGAAAAAATTAAATGAGGAAAACGTTTGAAAGTCGTGGCATAATAATACGGGAATCAGATTTGGCAGTAAGACTTAACGTGCGAATAAAGCGCGTTACACAGACTACAAGAGAAAGTTTTGGACGAAGCGATGTCACCGAGATAATAAATCGAGAAAACGAGCATTGTCACAGAAAATAAAGGCTTTAAGTTTTACTTTCTGACTTAAATTCGTTGCAATTACGATAATTTGGCCAAACTTTAGCGCATCATTAAGCGATATTAGCGAAGGCACTTTAAGGCACGCGCAGTCTGTGTAATGCAACGCGCACTTTATTCACACGTTAATCTTACTGTTGAATCTGGTTCTAGTTTTCTACGCCACTGCTTTCAAAAGTTTCCTTTATTTAGATGTTTTTGCTGAGCTTTACTTTTCAACCCGGTTCCATCAGTTTTTACGCAATTTTTTGTTGGCCAGAAAAGCAACGCCTGGCTTAAACTCGCGTATTTTTGGATTAAAAATCAATTCTAAATTTTTTATAGTAAAAATTATTAATTTTTTTTAAATTAGAAGATAAAAATGAACTTTCTAGATTAATTTAAAATTGAATTTTTAGAAAATTTCATATTTAAAAAAATGATTCTTTTAATAAAAAGTAAGGGGCGATGGGCAAAACCAATCGACGTTCGCTTCATTCTACAAATAAGAAATTTTTTAAAACCCTTTTCTCCTATTGGAAGTAAGAACGCCTGGATTAAGCGCTAATTATACACAGTGGCGGCTTTAGGTTGGGCAATTTTAGGCCACCCGTACGGCCCCATTTATATAACTTTATGTGACGTAACGATAATATTAGACCTCTTCTCAATGCCGATACTTTTGTGTATATCTACGCGTTTAATTCTCCTTAAAAACTGGGTCGGGGCTTCGAAAGCGCTTAAAACGGCCCATAACCGGTAAAATTTTAACTAATTTATACGAATAAAACTTACGAATAAAACCTGGAAAAATATAATTATCATTTAATTTTTTTGTTCTACATTTCTAATCAGTAAAATATTTTATTGATAAATATTTATTTGAATTATTATTTATAAAAAGCAAAATAAAATAATAACCTGATGTACGTTCTCGTGAGAAATTAAAGCAGCTTTTGTTGTCCTAGTCGCTTCGGGATGAAACGCATTTTCTTTATACATGATCAAACCCCAATTTTCCATACCGTAAGAAGGATATTCGGGAACAATTACGTGATCTGAAAATGTAAAAGTTTAATTATAAAAAAATCTAGCAACGAGTTGCTTAACTTTTCCGGCAACATTTGGTGGCGCCATCCATTATGAAATTTTATTTTAAAATTTTTTGTACTTTTAATTATTCTAAAATGACATTAAGTCCGACTGTATTCGAGATATGAACGCGACCCTATTTATCTCCCCATTCCGTCCACCTTCAATCACCAAAATTTAATAACATCAATTCCCCTTATAAACAAACCTCCCCGCTAAATTTCAGAAATTTTCGACAAAAAGCGTAGGAGTTATTGAGCTTTAAACGGGGTAAACAAAATCGTGCCCCCCAAACGCACTAACAACATCCATACGTACAAGAAAAAAAAACTCGAATTTTTTTGCATTTCTCGACGTTTCGATGTGTCCTCATTTTTTGACCGATCGCCATACTTTCCCTCTGTTATAACAGCCGGGAGAGTCGATCCTAGCTAGTTTTTCGATTTATGGACGATGAGTAACGAGTCTAACACTACGAAAAATACTACTATCTGGATTAGTGTACTCGCTATTCTTCTAAGTGTGCCACTAAAGGCCGAGTGGATAAAACCACCAAATACGGCACACAGTTGGTCGCGGATTCGCACTTTACTAACTGCCAGGTCATGTAGAGTTTCCCCGTTCTCTTCGCGTATTTAACATCTAAATAGCAGTCTTTTTCCTGTAGAAAGTCCTCCCGGAAGGCATCCTTCTTGGTAGATCGTACACGCGTTGCATCGCCTTTTACCCCATCGGCTCCACAGTGGCCGAGTGGATAAAATCGCCGAACACTAGTAGTTGGTCGATGGATTTACGTCTCGCCGAGTGAAATTTTCCGGGTTTTCTTCACGTTTATAGCATCTAAATAGGGCCAATTTCTCATAAAGTCCTCAAGGGAAGGATCTCCACTCGGAGATCGCCCAGGCGTCGCACTGCCATAGGCCTGTATCAATAAACATTATGCCTTATTCCACGAAATTATTCTTCTAAGCGTTATTGTAACGTTACAGCGCTCGCTAAAGGCCTTTCCCGAAACCTCGTTATACGCCCACCAGTGGCCGAGCGTCTTCGTCCCCGCACTCGAGTGGACTACACCCCGAACACTGGGAGTTCGGTCGTGGGTTGGCGCCTGGCTCGGACGGACTGGCAGCGTGGAGTTTTCCGGGTTTTCTTCGCGTCGATGACGCCGGAATAGGGGCCAGTTTCCCATAAAAGTCCTCCCGGAAGGCATTCTTTTCCGCGCGCGATTAGGCCATTCTATAAGGCCGGCTCTTCGGTGGCGTAGCCATCAACCGCGAGTCTCTCGGAGTAAAGGTGTTCAGCCATAAGACTCCTTACGAACTACCATGTACTGAAAGACAGAAAATCTCGTCTAGTTCAACAGTTGCCCATAAGCGCATTAATTTTATTCAAATACATTTTAACTTATACAAGAAATAATCGGTCCTTACCCAGTTTAGGTAAGTCGTAATCGATTCGAAAATATCTCTGGAAATAATCGAGAGTCTTATGAGCTATATCCAATATAAATTCCATATCGGTGTTATTTCTTAGATACCAAACGGCAACCTAATTATATAAAAATAATATTACAATTTAATTAAAATTCTTTTACAATATAATAATAAAATAAAATCACTATTTACCTTGCCATTTTCGATACTTTTAAACTCACATAAAACTTTAATAATAATAATAATAGCTTTTAACAACTATAAAATTCTTAATAAATAAAAAAATTCTCGCCTCTTTAAAAATTTACATTAATTATCAAAGTTATTTTAGTTTATGGCGTGCCACGAAATATAACTGGAAGATTTTCTTAAAACATATGATAATTTAAAGCGGTTCTTACGCTACATATTCAATTAGCAGATACACCCACCTCTGCCTGGGAGAAAATAAGAAAATATTCAAATGGAAGCCGTATTAAAAGCTTCGTTTTATCTTGTTATTGTTATACATATTTATCACTAATTATCAAAGGGACGAAATCGGGGGAAGAATGGGATTTTCGGGCTTAGTGGTAGCCGATATTTTTATAGAACTGCTATAAAAATTTTGGTGCAGATCGGTAAAGAAGGGTTTAGAAATGTATAGAGAACAGACGTACACGCACATTTTACAAGTACCTCGGTGCGGTAAAGTTCGGCCACGCGTGTAATGTTAAAGTGCCAACTTTGATCCTTAATATCTCCACGACCAACTAACCGATTCGAATGAAATTTAAAAGTATTTAGTGTCCGCGACGAGTACTATGGACGCGTTAAATTTTGAATAAATTCGTTGGGTCGTTTCGGACTTACGCGATTGGGATTTTGTCGCATAGATTTACAATAGCGACACCGAGTTGCCGAACGATCTACTGTAGAAGGAATCTGCGTTTAATAAGTCGTTCGAGAGTCGACCGCCTCCCGTTTACTCTATAGAAGGTTTTATTTAAAAATACCGATTATTTATATAATAAGAGCCCGTGTTCTTACATTTCGACATATTATTCGTCAATCTGTTATTACGTGACATAACGTACTGAAGGCTAAAATGTGACTATCGAGTGAAAATAGAATTATTACGAAGTTACCGATGACTGAAAAACACTCGAAATCCCATAAAAATATTATTGGAACCGGGTTAAAAATAAATCTCGGCGAAAAAATTAAATGAGGAAAACGTTTGAAAGTCGTGGCATAATAATACGGGAATCAGATTTGGCAGTAAGACTTAACGTGCGAATAAAGCGCGTTACACAGACTACAAGAGAAAGTTTTGGACGAAGCGATGTCACCGAGATAATAAATCGAGAAAACGAGCATTGTCACAGAAAATAAAGGCTTTAAGTTTTACTTTCTGACTTAAATTCGTTGCAATTACGATAATTTGGCCAAACTTTAGCGCATCATTAAGCGATATTAGCGAAGGCACTTTAAGGCACGCGCAGTCTGTGTAATGCAACGCGCACTTTATTCACACGTTAATCTTACTGTTGAATCTGGTTCTAGTTTTCTACGCCACTGCTTTCAAAAGTTTCCTTTATTTAGATGTTTTTGCTGAGCTTTACTCTTCAACCCGGTTCCATCAGTTTTTACGCAATTTTTTGTTGGCCAGAAAAGCAACNAGATGCGTGTATCACTTATTCCGCGTAAATGCAAAATAGAAATTGAATAGTTTTAAATAATAAAATGTCTTACTTTCCATTTTTCTTGTACGTTGGTTTGAAAAACAGCCATTTCATAATTTCTCAGAAAGTATCCGATTTCTGTAAAACCCACTACATTTAATACCAGAACATCCTTTTCGTAAGGAAAATAAGAGAAGATATCGAGCGCCAAGGTATGAGGAATATCTCCTTTGCTAAAACGATGACAAGATAAAACTATTTTAATGAAATATGAGTAATAATAATATTATTAAATTTTAAAAGTTTACTTACTCGGCAAAGAACATGGCATCTTTTAAAATTTGAATTCTATTTAATGACGGTATTTTCTAAAATAAAATAGAAAATAAATCAAATTTAGAGTGCGTTCGGTTCCGAATTTAAAATGTTTTCGTATACCATTTGCAGTGTTATGATATATTTTACAGCGTACCACACGAGGATAAAATTTTAATACTTTATTTTTAAATCCTTGTAATATTCTAAACGCTTTATTTGATGTATGGCTACAATAATATCTGTTGTAAATCTATATACAACTGGCTTAAGTGACTAAGTAATTCACGATTACCGTCTCAATTTTGTATATGGTGCCATTTTTCTCGAATTTGTTTCCTCGTTTTTCTATCGAGTCATTTTGTCGGATCGAGAGATCGATAGGTAAGCTACTGAACGTATCCACGAAAATAGAGATAAGAGAAGTGATGATCGTCATCCTTCATTCTGTGTCTCTTATTCGTCTCTTGAATTGGCTACCGACACGAAATTTGACTTTTAAATCATCAGAAATATATTTAAAACTTTGATTTTGAGTTAATATTGTATTGTATGGATTTTGAGTCGTGTTTTTAAAGAATTTCGTAAAAGACAGAATTCGTTTCTGTCATTTCTATTGTGTAGAAATGAAGTTACGCGAAATTCAGTAGTAATGCAGGGTGTCTCGTAAGTCTGGAATCGTAAGAGTTATAATGATCTCTCTATGTACTTTTACGTGGAGTTGCGTAAGAAGAAACAAATTCGAGTTATTCCGATGGTGGGAACCCACAGACAACGTGAACTCCAAAGAGTTTTTAACTGGCTGCATCTAGCACTCTGGATGAAGCCTGTTAAATTCTTTGGCATTAACTCTCTCTGCGGATTCTCGCCATCGGAATAACTTGAATTCGTTCCTTCTTATTCGATATCATACTTTATGTATAAAAGAATAAACAAAAATGAACACTTGGTTCTAGACTTATGGAACACCCTGTATAATAGAAAGCGCACACTTTTGTGAGGGACGAACAGACCCACAATAAAGTGTTATTTTAAATTTTAATTATTGGAAACTTTAATCGGTTAAATTCGAGCGTTTTATCGAGTTAGGCTAAACGCCATAATAATTATTTCCCACGGAGTTTGTTCCTTGATGAGTCGGATCCAGTTAGTCAGGGATGTGTCACCAGGAACTTTCGATGGAGAGCCCATATTGGACGCCAGACCCTTAACAACAACCACCTGACCTAATGGAAAAACCCAAGAGGAATTTAAAAAAAAAAAACCAAGAAGAGAGTCGTCTTCCAAAGTCCGCCCAACAAAGTCGTCCTCCAGGATTCAAATTGTGACCCAGGATTAAAACCGTGAGAAAAAATCGTGCCTGGTTAAGCCTCTACACTCCTCCGTGCCTCCACACCAGTGAACGGACAAGATTCGGAACTAGTGGAAAGAACAGTCCATCGACAAGGTATTTATCAACCCGCGATTCGTTTGTAAACTCTCTCTCTCGACGGGCCTCTCTTGAATAGGGGAACTATGACCGAAATTGACTCTCTCTGTATTTCCTTTAGTTTCATTAAAATTGTTAATTGTTAGCAACCATGGAATCCGATTAAGTTACTTCCTCGTCTCTCTCCTCACCTCTACTCCCAATCCAATCGCTCACCCGCTACCGCTCGCGTGACGTAACGTCGCAATTTCCGAGTCCTGCGAGACTCGGTGGTGTCAGATTCGGGTCTCCTGACGTGGTGTCAAAGAGACACCGACCCTACGGTCACACTTTCATTTCAATATTCCTACAGGACCAAAATCTGTATGCAATATTCTTAAACTTATTTCGAAGTATTATTTGTGAATGACTCGGCCTTCACAGTTTAAACCCTTGTAGTTTCTCGGGTCAAAAGATAAGGAATTTGCAAGTTTTGAATGTTTCCACTGATATAGCAATTACAAAAATGTCTTCCATAATGATAATATACGGGTGCTTGTGTAAAAATTCCATTACGTTATTATTACATCGTCCGTATGTAAGTTCATTTTCCATAAAATAAATCACAATGCCAGACTGCAAGTTTTAATCGCCTTTTATTTTTTAAAGATTACGCGACTTCCGGTCCAGACCGGAAGTTCGTATATAGTTAATCGGGCCTCTAACTCCTACGCTTTCCATATTTGGTCTCTATTTTCGTGTGTCTAATTCCGTTATAGAGATTAACGAAGGACAGACAGTGGGAATATTTAGGTCTTCCATAATGATACATAATGACCTAAATATTACAGTAAATTTTACAGACATCTGATGCTTTAAATGAAATTCCTTATATAATACTTTGTATTGCGTAGAATCGTATTTAAGTTTTAAAAACGTTTAATAGAAAGTTCGTCCTGATATTCTTAAATAATAAAATATCAAATAACTGTAACTATAAGAGCAGAAGGAAGAAGTTTGTTCAAACAGACACTACATTAATTTTCTTAAAATTTGCTGTATGTACTTCTTTAGAAAAACTCGCAGAGTTGTGCTTTTTTACGTTATTTGCATGAGAAGATATGATTTATATATTTTTATAATATAAATAATAGATTATACTGTTATACACGCATGGCCTACGTGACGTTAAATTCAAAACAGTGAATGTGGTAAACTTTTGGTATTCAAAGCCACTATTTTTAACAATGATTGTTCGTGATACTTAACTGATCGTCATCGGGTGACTGAGGAGTGACTTAACACAACTATATTTTAATGGTCTAATACACTTGTATGTACTGTACAATATCTAAGAGATATTGTACATACATTCAAATCTTTTTCCTATACAGTCCTTGAGTTTTTTCTTTATTTATTTACAAATGTAATGGCTAAGTTACTGTCTACGATTGGTTTTATGTTAAAAAATGTTAATCATTAATGGAGTATTATGAATATCTAGATATATTGTCTTAATAATTGCCTATTGTAAGGCTGAAGAATAAACTATTAGAAACTAAATGCACCTGTAGTTATTTACATGACATCTGAGACAACTACTATAGTTAGTATCGAAATCGTATCACGTAGTCTTCCTAGAAAACAAGCAATTAGAACTATTCACAAATGTAATAATAAAGTATACACTGTTTTTCTAATATATTTTCTATGGAAATATTTATACGAAGCAATTTAATGCACTTATCACGCCTGTTATACGAAGATCAACGAATGTTTTATCTTCTAGACTAGAAAGATTAACGATGAGATTATTGATAAAAGAATTAACGACACTCCATACAAATCAAGTTAGTACAATACTTTCATAAGCATCTTTCTAAAGATTCAGTGTTCTGACATTGACTCGAATTTTTAATAACGAGTTTGGAGTAGTATCTTCTGTTTGTTATAGATAATTGGGTTTCAGATAAAATATTTCGAGAGCTCCACAAGAAACGAATAAGATCTAGTTACTGATCCATCAGTAAATTGAAAATGTACCTTGAAAGCCACGTACAAAA